GGAATGGCACCGTGGAGCTTCTTATCCGTTGGAAGGGTTATGATCCTTCTGAGGACAGCTGGGTACCTGAGTCCGACATGGGTAACGCCCGTCGTCCTCTGCATGACTACCTTGTCAAGCAGGGTGTTCCTTCTACCACCCAGCTTTGAGGGGGGGAAGTGTGAGAGTACGACCCCGTTACACCACTTGGCCTTTTCTTATTTCCTTCCCTTTTCATTTCTCGTTTTACCGCATCTCATTTGGTTTCCTATTTTCCATTTTCCATTATCCTTTGGTCTCTTCCTTTATTATAATTATATCACCGACCAGGCATGGAATGTACTAGAGACGTTATCCAGCGTAATCCTGCCGTAATCCCTTAAAGCCAATAGCCTCACGTGGCTATACGCAGGGTGATTCTATCTTCTAGAAGGGTCTATTCCCTTAGGATAAGATAAACCTGGTTACCTGATGTACTCTGGAAGTATAAAAGCGCCTTGTACCGATCGATAGTGAAACCTTTCCTCGACACATTCGATCCTGTGACACTCAGCATCCTGGCGCGCTTTGTGGCGACACGTAGACACCGACCATAGCACTGGTCTGCAGCTAAGAGGGTTTTGCGTTATCTAGCAAGTACATCGGGCATGGGGCTAGTGCTAGGAGGACCCAGACCAGTGATCCTTACCGAGCACACAGACACTTCTTGGGCAGACAACGCCGAGTCTCCCAGGTCCTCCCAGGTCTACTGCTTTAGCCTTGGTGCTGGTGCTGTCTCGTGGAGGTCCACCCGCTCATCGTCTGTTGGCCAGTCTAGCTGTGAGGCTGAGATGCCATGGTGGTACAGGAGTTCCGCTGGCTGACTTTCTTGCTTACTCACTTAGGTGAGCGGCCTAGCTCTGCCCCGGTCTTGTACGCTGACAACAGGTGTTAAATTATATATAAGTTATATAATTGTTGGCTTGGTAGGTGCTACTGAAACTTACTGTAGAGGGTACAACACCCCTCCTTGTATCCCTCTCTTTTCTATTCTCGACCCTTTTCTCTCGTCAACTTTCTCCTAGCTAAACCCTCGTGCCATTCCATGGCTTCCTAGCTGCCTAGTCTCGTGACATAGTAACAGAGCAGGTCGCCCTTCCCGGGCCTGCTCCCCACACTTCCGCCACGTGCTCGTTTCTCTCTCTCTCTCTCTCTCTCGCTTCCATGGCAGCCGCGTCGTGCTGCTGTGGCCGTGTCGTCGTGCCGCCGGCCGCGTCGTGCCGCTGTGTCGGCGTCGTCGTGCCGCCGGCCGCGTTGTGCTGCCGCGGCCGTCGCAACGCGCTGCCATGGCGTCGCGCTGTCGTGGCGTCGACGTCAAGCCATGGCAGCGTCGTCGTCGACGTCAAGCCGTGGCGGTGTGATGGCGCCTTCGTGCTGCCGCGGCGTCTGCGCAACAGCGCGCGGACGGCACGGACGGCAGCGGCCAGCTCCCCGTCTTAGCGCTGGCCATCACGCCCGCATGCAGCCAGCGTACCACACGGGGCGGCACGCTCCCGGGCTCCGCTGCTGAAGCCCCGCCCCCCTTTCCCTGCGTCCCCTCTTCCTTGCCGCAGCCGACGGCTGACTCGCGCCGGCCGTCCCACCGTCGCGGAGCCCGGCCACGCCGCCGAGTGCTGCGAGCTCCGCCTCCGCTGGTAGCTGTCGTCGAAGGCGCCGCCGTCGCCACAGCTGGTGTCGCTGGCCACGTCGACGCACGCCGCCGCCGCCGCCGTTGTCAACGCTGCCGCCGTCGCCGCCGTTGCAGCCGTTGCCCTCGTTGTCGACGTCGCTCCACCTCACGCGCCGTGGGGTTGACCGTGCTGAAGTAGCTGTCGCTGCTGCTGAGTATGGGGGTGCTAGGGGGTGTATGGCTTAGTGTGCTGTGTGTGTGGTGGGCTTGCCGCTACCAAGCCTAGGGGGTGTGTTAAATTATATATATGTTATAAAATTATAAGCTTGATAGGAGCTACTGAAACTTACTGTAGAGGGTACAACACCCCTCCTTGTATCCCTCTCTCTTCTTTTCTCAACCCCTTTCTCTCGTCAACTTTCGCCTAGCTAAACCCTCGTGCCATTCCATGGCTTCCTAGCTACCTAGTCTCGTGACAACAGGGCCATGATCCTCCTATGTTTGGAGCCCAGACTCGAGGGCAGAGCGAAGCACATCCAGCTGCGGTACTTCCTCCTGCGCGAGCTACAGCAACGTCGCCAGTCCCGCGGAGTACACTTGGCCTCTAGTGCCAACACAGCTGATATCTTTACGAAGGCGCTTGCGCCTAAAGATCATCAGCAGCACCGCGTACAGCTTGGTCTCGTTCCAGTAGCACCTCATTTGCTAGGACCCTGATTGTGTATAACTCTTTATATATTATCATCACTGGCCTTGTGGCTTTCTCCCAGTGGCTGAACTAGTAGTGCCGCCCTGGTCTTGTTCTTGCCTTGTTTGTACTCTTTTGACTAGTCTTTAGACCCCTGCCTTAGAGGTTGGACTAGTAGTGCCGCCCTGAGCTGTTTGTCTCGCACCAGGCTCTGCCCCTATCTAGTCTAGGGGGTGTGTCAAACATATTTGTATATGTTTAGTAGACTACATAGGGTCTTGCGATAGAGAGTACAACTTACTAGCTATATACCCCTGTATACTCTCATTCTATTCAACACTTTTGTTTCTGAGAACAAACACCCTGTTCCCACTTGTTCTAGTTATTCTGCTATTCTAACAAACACCTGCCATAAAATATATTATCTAGCGGTGCTGCCACGCCGTAGATGGATGGGTAAATGTGCTGCCACACTGTTCTCGTCCCGCGCTTCTGTGATCTGCTCTCAGAAGTGACGGACGCAAGTTCGCGTGTAGGGTTGGGGGTCTCGAATGTAGTTCGGGATCTGGGTTGTCGGGCCGAGCCTAGATTTCCGAAAGTCAGGGCTGTACTCGATGTTCGCGAGGCTCGCTAAGACAAAAGGGTTTTCCTTACATTTGCCTAGCCAGAACACTCGCCTATATGTTGCTAGACCCTCGTTTTTACTCACCGCATGTTTTTTTAGGACTCGTTATGATTAATAACAACCTCTGTAAGCATTATACTGTACTCGATTTTATGCTATCAACGTCCCCACGATCTCCCCCCAACTCCTTGTAGAATGGGAAGGTATATCGACGCTCAGTATTAGGGGCCTCGATAACATGTACGGTCAGTGGCACGATATACACAATCAGAATTAGCAACTTCGCAACATGACTCATCAGTCGGATTCCACCGTTAGTCAGAAACTGCAGGAAAAAAATTCCACGAATAGGGCTGATTTTATCAGACTATTTAGTCTGATTAGTATGAAATTTCAGACCCTTTTTTTTTTGCCAAACCTGAATTTCCAAATAACCCATTTTCCCAATCCTGATCCCTTTAGAGTACAATTCTAGGAATCCTGAGAAAATCATAGTTGTTGCTAACCCAGTACTGAGTTTCCAGAGCACAGCGCGTACAGACCCTGACTCATTATGTAGAGTACCAACCTTCGAAAATTTGTATGAAGTCCCCAATCGCTAGAGACAAACCCCACAACCCCTAAAACTTTTCGGCCAAGTCCCCGAACCCTAGAGACAACCCCCACCCCACACCCCACAACCCATCTAAAATTTCGGCGAAGTCCCAGAACGCTAGAGACATCCCCCACACACGCCACAACCTATTGAAAAAATCGACTAAGTTATGTTGTCAGATACAGTCCCCCCCAACACCCGGAACAACCCATAAGTTTTGAATGAGACTTTCACTTCTTTTTTTTTACTGCATTGGAATGTGAGTAAATTCCGCATTCTAAACATAGGAAAATTCTCGCCAGTTGCCCGTTTGGTCAACTGAAAGTCTAACAAAATGTAACGGTCATGATCGATTGCGATCGTTTCGACATATATCAATCGTTCGATGGAAGGTAGCAATTAACGTCCAAGATTTTCCAACCGGGGTGCTGCAAAGGCGCGAAATTTCTTCCACCGCCCTATGCCCCAGCTTCCCCCCTTCCTGCCGTTTCGATTCCCCCCTTCCCCTCCATTTTCGATTCCCCCCTGCCCTCCGTTTCGCTTTCCCCCTCCCCTCCGTTTCGATCACTTCCCCCTTCCCCTCCGTTTCGCTTCCCCCCTCCTCTCCGTTTCGACCCCCCCCCCCTCCCCTCCGTTTCGCTTCCCCCCTCCCCTCCATTTTGATTCCCTCCCCATTTCCCCGTCGGTTTCGATTCCCCCTCCCCTCAGTTTCGATTTCCGTGGCAGTGCGATTTTACCCCCTCGGTTTTTAGGAATGGCTTCCCCGTTTCCCACATTTAACAACTACGCAAAACGAGGGTAGACAGGGTTGCTGATTGGGGGGGGGGGGGGGGGGGGTGGGAGGATTTTTAATGGCTGCAAGGGACTTAGCCGATTTTTTGGGAGGTGTACGAGGGAGGAATGTTTCTCGCAGTGGGGGTGTTTCCCGTATGTGACTCTGGTTGTTCGTGCTGGACCCTGAAAAAATCAGACTCGCTGAGTTTTGGACCCTGACATTTCAGACTACCAAAAATTCGGCTGAAGGCCCTTCATACCTTTTTTTTGGGGGGGGGGGGGGGGGGGGGGGGGGGGGTTGGCTCAGAGTGCCTTTTTTTGAAACGTCAGCCCTGTCCACGAATGGTCAGTAGAAGTAACCCCCGCCGTATATCGGAACATTTTCCCGCTCGCGCCAGTCCAATCTCGTCATCATTGCGGCTGGCGCGAAAAAATTCTCAAGCTCCAGGCGCAGTACGAGAGAGCTACGTAAATTATTCCCAAATTACAAATCATTGGACTTTGCGAACACAAAAATCGACTAACGGTGGAATCCGACTAATGAAACATGTTGCGAACTCGCTAATTCTGATTGTTTATATCGTGTCACTGACCGTACATATTATCGAGGCCCCTAATACTGAGCGCCGATATACTTTCCCTTGTAGAATAGCCGAGTGAATTCGAGCCAAACTCGCACATTCGCTCTCGCCGGCACTTGCTGTCGCGTCCTCACCATATATGCGTGCGTCTCAACCGCAGCCCTCTCCCCGCTCGCTCGCCGTTTTCAAGAGACCAACCGCATAGTCTTTGCCGCGCGTGGCTGGGCAGCGAAAGGGGTCGCGCGGCGACGCGATGCGGGCGAACGAGAGCACGTGCGTGGTGGGCCAAAAGGTGAAGAGGGGACGCTGGGGCGAATGCAGCAGCTGGTGGACGCCGTAGGGTGCTGCTGCCTGCCACGCACAGGTCGCAACGCCCCTCCGATGACTGTCGTCGCAGTCGTCGCGACGTTGCTGTGGGCGATACCGTCCTCGCCTCTCGTATCGTGGGCGCCCGCGGTGTTGGTCCCACAAGCGCAGCTCCCAGGAGCGGACGGCACGAGCGTTCGCTCGCATGGGCGCGCCTGAATCCCCTCCCCGTGTTCGCCCTCTCACGTTCTCTCTCCCCCTCTTCCCCTCCTCTCTTTCCTCTCACTGCCCCTCGTCCTTGCTCGACGTTCCACACATCAGGTGGTGCTCGTGCCGTACCGCGCTTGCCACGTGGCCAAGTACCATTCGTGGATGCAGGTGAGCACGGATGCGCGCAGCTTGGCACGCAGCGAGCCATGTGCAGGTGCAGTGCACACATACCAGCAACATTCGCAGCTCCTCTCTCTCAAGCGGTCCGTGCATTGCAGCAACCTGAGAGCACGCTATGCATGCAAGGCGCGCATGGGCGTAGCAGCAAAGAGAGCCACCGCGTATAGGAGCTCCGCCAGGGGCTCTGCTATGGCCAAGCAGTCCCCACGGGGCATGCTTTCGTGGGGGGAGCCAGCAGGGGTTTGCAGCGTGAGCCGCCGCGTTTACCTTTTCCAGGTAGGCCATGGCTGGGTGCGCTGCAGGGCGAACGACCATCGCTGCCGAATCTGGTGGAGCAGTTTTGCCGCTTGGTAGTCGCTTGGGCCAGCGCTCAAGAGCCTCCTGGCGGCCGCGTTGGCCAGGAGCTTGGGGAACGCTGGCACTTCGTGGCAGGGGCAGTCTTATGTTTCCACGGCAGCCCGGCGTACGCCGCACGGTTGCGGTAGTGGACAACTTTCTTGGCGGCTTGTTCTCGGGCCCTTACCCCCATCCATTGCGCGCCCTGGGGTTCCGGGAGCTTCCTGGGTCGGTGATGGTAACGCCGCACATCCAGACCGCCCCCGAGTCCTGGCCTTGGATGGCGAGGTCGGCGCTTTGCCATCGACAGGGTTAAACACCCGCGTTTTCTTGTGCCCGATGGGCTCGGCGTCCCGATCCGACGCACTCGCCGCACAGTGCGTTGTGGAATTGCCACGGCCATGGCATGACCGCCAGCGAAGGGTGATTTGGGTTTCGGGGGTCTAGGATCCCGTACTTGTCGGCGCAGTCACACACCTGCGGGGCAGGACAAGGGAGGCCTAGGCTGAAAGCCGGGGCGAAAGTGAAATGCTGGGGGCCAAGACGGAGGGAGGGGCTCATGGGGATGGCAGGGAGCCAGTCCCCCACGCCGTACCCCATGAGCGACAGCAGGCGCTGGATATGGCCCATGAGGGGGCCGAGCTCCACTCCCCTGGACGCTGCCAGCTGGTCTGCAAAGCGGGTCCCATGGACCTCGAGGGGGAGCCGGTTCTGCAGGGGGGGGCCCGTGGGCTCCAGGCGCTCGAACGGCAGACGCTCCAGCGCACTCGTGGTCAGGGCGGCGTCGCATGGCACGAGCCACGTGTGGAGTGGGGTGGGGCTGGTGAAGGGCGGGCAGAGAGGGCGAGCGGCGAGCCCAAGGGGACCAGCAGAGGCCTCGCTCAGTGAGGCGAGGAGGGAGTGTGCGTGAGCCACGGACGTGAGGAGGCGTGGCGTCCTTCCATGGCGGCGTTCATGAGGCCCACACCACTGAGGGATGGGGGGAGGGCACGTGCGGGCAAGCTCCTCTTCCCCTGCCGGCAGTGGAAGGCCGCACGCCCGCAGGAGGGTGTGGAGGAGCCCCTGCCCCCACCGTGGACGTGCAGCGTGTGGGCATTAGGCACGCCACCTGCGGCTCCATAGTGGCACGGGTGACCAGGGGCGTGGCGAGAGTTGCTAGCTGGTCGCGAAGAAAACTGGCAGCCCCTTCGTGTGGGCCAATGTGGCTGCCCAGCACGTGTAGGCCCTCGGAGCCGTAGGGGATGGCCTCAGGGAGGCAAGCAGCTGCCGGCCCAGCCCGGGGCTAGGCAGCGCGTTTTGGCAGGGTTGTGGGTAAGCCTCAGGGGGCCGAGTGCAGAGGTAAAGTGGACGAAGTCTGTGGAGCAGGCGCCTGGTTCCCCACAGAACGTTGCGTGTGTGCGCATGCAGCATGCCAGGCAGAGGACGGCCGGGTGGGCGGCAGCGGTGGCACGGTGGCGGGGGTGGATACATTCGGCGAAGTGGAGGGGATCCCTCCTCTCTTGAACGGTCCTTTGTATTGCCCTTGTAATGGGTGCAAGGTGACAAATTGAGAAAGTGCATGGCTATGGGCTCCCGGGTAACCTACTGCTGGCCGGGACGCCCGTCAAGGGTCGGTTCTGGTGTAGCGTCTAGGTCCCCCCAGGTAAGGGGTTCATCCATGGGGACGCTCGTGGTGGAAGGCCCCTCCAGACGCTTGGCCGACCTTGGCATGCAAGGTGATGGCCTGGTGTCTTTGGAGGGTGACCGACCAAACTTCTTCTCTCTCTTCCCCCCCCACACCCAACCCTCCCTTCCTTAACCGGAACTGAACCGGGAATGCTGCATTTTATGCTATCCCAACCACCCCTCCCTCCACTTGCCCTACACCCCCCCCTCCCCCTGCCCGCAGGACCCGTGGCTGCAGGAGGCGACGGGGTCGGAGGCGCTGAGTCTGGCAGAGGAGTACAGCATGCAGCAGCGCTGGCGGGCCGACAGCGATAGTGAGCCACGCCAGGGGGCTGGGAGCAACAAAGGGGGGGAGAATGGGTGTGCTGGTGGGGGGGTGGGGGGGGTGGGAGGGAGTCTGAGGGGAGCAGCACGCTGTGCTGTGCATGCGGCATGTCGCCTGCCTGCTCATGCATTGCTCTGCCTTTGGCTGTTCTGCAGTGCGGGGCATGCATGCATGCATGAGCACATGTGTTTGGGATGTGCATGGGTGTATGTGTGCATGCGCCCAAATTTGCATGACAATATGTGCACCCATGCATGTGTGTGTGCGTGTGTGGCTGCGTGCGTCCTTGCGTGTGTTTGTGCCTGTGCATGCACGTGTGCATGTGTGCGTGCATGTGTACGTGCATGTGTGTGTGCATGCCCGTGTGTGTGCGTGCATATGTGTGTGTATGCATGTGTGTGTGCATGCATGTGTGTGCGAGCATCAGAGTGCACGTTCATAGTGCTGGACCGCTCGCGCATACCTGGCCTTGCACACACCTCCGGCGAGCTCGTTGGAGCTGCCAGGGACCGAGCGCCACGTGCACCATCAGACACAGCAGATGGATCAGCAGCAGTAGCGCCATCAACAGCAGCACAAGGCGCAGCAGTGGAGGGGGAAGCTGCAGGCTGCCTTCGCCACTTCCCCTCGCACATCGACGGTACATCGCAACCACCCTACCTCTCATCATTCCTTCCTTTGCAACCCCTGTTCCCCCTCCCCCCTTCCGCACCTACTGCGTCATATCCTTCCTCACATCGATCTTGTTTCTGCCCCTCTCTCAGCCCCTCCTCGCCTCTCCTTGCCATCCCTCCCTCGTCTCCCCCCTCCCCCCTCTCCCCCCTCTCCCCGTTTTCCCCCCTCTCCCCCCTCTCCCCATTTTCCCCCCTCTCCCCATTTCCCCCCTCTCCCCATTTTCCCCCCTCTCCCCATTTTCCCCCCTCCCCATTTTCCCCCCTCTCCCCATTTTCCCCCCTCTCCTCATTTTCCCCCCTCTCCCCATTTTCCCCCCTCCCCATTTTCCCCCCTCTCCCCATTTTCCCCCCTCCCCATTTTCCCCCCTCCCCATTTTCCCCCCTCTCCCTCCCCCCACCCCTCCGGCGTGGAATGAACGACTGCCACCTCCACCCATGCGTGCTCTCCTTGCCCCTCTGTGTGCGGGCGGCAGGCATGTGTGGCGACGTGAACTTGTTCATCAACGACCCTGATGACCCTGCCGCGGCCGAGGTGGAGGTCATGATTGCAGACGCCACGTGGTGAGAGCGGGAGCAAGACAGAGACGGGGGAGGGGGAGATAGACAGAAAGTGAGATGGAGCAAGTGAGAGGCTAGGCCTGGCTAGGCTAGGGGATGGACCGAATCTCATTTTCTCCCCCTCGGTTTGACCTCCCACCTCCCCCCACCCCCTCATGGCACACCAGCCGTGGGCGCGGCATGGGGCGGGAGGCGCTGCAGCTGATGCTGGCGTACGCGGTGTGGCACCTGCACATCACCACCCTGCGCGCCAAGATCAATGACTCCAATGCGCCATCCATCGCTCTCTTCCGCTCCCTCGTGCGTCCCACGTGCTGCCTGAATCGTGCTTGACTTGCTGCACCATGTACACTGTACATCGTTTCTCCCCCCTTTGCACCCCTCGTTCTGCAGTGTCCTTTCTTTGAGTAGCCAACAGTTCGGCAGGTATTCTATGGAATGCTCTGCCAGCATGTGTGCTCTGCCAACAGGGGCACAGCATGGCACCATGAGTCTCAAGCATTACTGCTAACGAGACGATATCATCTGGCCCTTGCATAGTACTGGTTTGTGTGACGAGCAGCTTTGAACTGCCCTACTTTTCCCTTGCTTCCACCCACCTCCCTTCCCTCTCCCCCTCCCGGCCCCCTCTTCTCCACTCCGCCCCACCCCCCCACTACCTTGTGCAGGGCTTTGTACAGACAGGGCACAGCCAGGTCTTTCAGCAGGTAAGCCTCACGACCAGGGGAAAAAGACTATGGAGCTCCTTAATCAGAAAACTGCACAAGTTCTCACAAAACCCTTCCTTGAAACCACCTGCACTGCAGACATTGTCCATGCTCCACAATACCTGTACAAGCGTAGCATTTGCCGGATCAATGTTCTGATACTGCATGTGGTTGCATACTAGGCATCAACCATATTTTCTTGCTTTTCAAACCTATGTTTTTTTGCATCCCTCTCGTAAAGGCAGTCCATGCTCCATCCTAATTCCCTTGTTTCCATTGTCTTGCTGCTCGCTCACCTTGCTCCACCTTCGTGCGTGCCATGCAGACAACATTTGAGCTCACTGCTACCTCTCCTCCATTGGCTGTCATTCACGATCTCGTCATGCCACTGCACATCTTGACATACATCGACTAGGCTCCCTTACTCTTGCGCGGGTATTGATATCCTAATAAAAGTTACGATGTGGTGTAAGTCAACATAATATAGCTTATGTGAAGTCTATAGTAATTACGGATTACGTTGTTTACACCTCGCTGCGCCTTGACTTGCATGGGTGTGCGTTGCCTCAGCCCACTTGTGCCTCGCCACCGCTGCCGCGACGTGTCATGGTGTCCATCGAGCCGCCTTGAAGTCAAAATATGCGGCGCTCCGATTCCTCAATCCTGTTTCTGTCCCCACCCGCATTGCTTGAAATACCCAATTCACTTGCTGCTCTACAAATCCCCTGCTACCAGCTACGAAGTGTATGCCTACAGAATTGTCTACTTTTCATTCGTCACAGTACTACTGTACCACAGAGTTGGGCCATGGCGTCGCGCAGGGAAGAGCTCAAGACGGGTCCGCAGCTGGGTCAAACTCAGGAGCAGGCAGAGAAGGCTTACGAGAAGATAGTAGAGGGCGGCAAGAAGGGCGGCGAGGCGCGCAAAGCGCAGATGACCCATGAGGACTATGCGGAGATGGGGCGCAAGGGAGGCAAGGCCCGAGCAGAGCAGGCGTACGAAGGGGCGCAGTTCGCGGGGCACCCTGAAGGAGCCCTCAGGGACGTGCCTGAGAGGCCGATTCATGACTGACAGACCGTCCCTTGATGCTGTTCCCCATGGCCCGACGCACTAGAAGTTCGTACACTAGCCCCTGTTCCTCAGAGAGCGGTGTAGCCTGCTTTCCTTGTCAATTTGGCAGGTGCATCAGATAAGAAACGGAGCTGTCACTTGGTGCAACGCTTGTTTATTGGACTCTTGCAAATAAGCATTGGACACGAAAGGAACAAAACGTATTCACACAGATTAGAAAGGGTAAGTCCTAGACATTCAACAGTGTTCAGTGGTTGAGGTACATGGGGAGTGTGACAGAAACATCGGCAGACAGGGAGGTGCAGGCAGTGGTAGGTAAAGAATGGACGGAAGAGAGACGGGAAATAAGCCTTTTTTGCCCCGGGGTCGACGGCATAATGAAACTACCAGATGGCGATGTCGTCGACGGTGTCACCGAGTGTTGTAAGGTCGATTTGCTCGATGCGGATCCCCGCTGCGTCCATCCTGCCGCACAGATGGCTCAGCTCTGCCAGGCCGACACCAAGGGGAGGGGAGCACGGCGGAGCAAGAGACAAGGAAAATCAATAAGGGGAAGCGGCGAACGGATGCCTTTGGGCAATTTACGTGAACCTGGTTGAAAGTAGACCCCTCCGAGCTTGATACGCCGCAATCCCGTCACATGACTCACCAGACCAATCCGCGCAGCTCACTGCAGCAGCATTGCGATCGCCAGCTTCCGCAGTGCCCTTGCTCGTTGTGTCGCGGCAGCGCTGCCCGATCTCCACGCCCACGCCCATCACCATGCCCATCTCGATTCCCGCGCGAATCGCCTCTTCGCGACTCGAAGTCTCAGAGAACCGCCTGCGCCTTCTGTTCGCCGTCCCGTCCCCGGCTGTGCCGTCGGCACAGCCGCTCGTTGTGACCGCTTGATCGGTCGGAGAGGTTCCTGCGAAAACGTCCCGCGCCTGGTAGACGGGGAACTGCTTCACGCCATCAGCAGTTGCGCGCCGAGCCGCCACCAGCGGCGGCTCCACTGCGGCCCTCGACGACCCCGGATTGAACGCAGCGTGTGCCGCAAGGAGATCGCCGGCTGAAGGAAAGAGAGTAGCCGTAGCAGTGGCGCCCTTGCTAGCGAGAGTCTCCCGAGACGCGGCGGCGGACGAGGCGTAGGATGGGAAGAGAGGCGAGAGCAAGGGACCTGCGGGCGAGCACTTGATGAGACCAGAGAAGGTGGAACCGCGCGAGGACAAGTCGACTGGATATGCGGCCGCCGGAGCGAGAGGCTTGATTTCGTCTTGTGCACAATTCGCGCGGGTAGTATCGCTGCCAGCTGCTAGCTCGGAGCTCCCTCGACTCGGGCATAGCTCGCTCGTGTGACGCGCTAGCGCACGGAGGCTTTTGCCGCGTGGGGACGCCGTCGACAACGCGGGCGATGGCGCGAGTGACACCTCGTGCGTGCTTGCGTCGAGCTGTGAGAGCACCGCCGCGACCTCCAGAACCTCCTCGGATGAGGTGGAGCTGCTGCTGCGGCTGCTTCCGCTGCTCCCGCTGCTCCCGCTGCTGGAGCGCGACGTGCCTGAAGGCGCGCCGATGTCAGATGACGCGGACGAAGATGTCGACGTGGCAGTGGCCGGCCGCGGGGACATGATGAGCGCGGAGTCGACGGATTGCGAGGCCGCGAAGAACGTTGGGGTGGCGAAGGTTGAAGCGGGGACTCCGATTTTGGTCAGGGGCGCCAGCGCGAGCTTACTACCAGTAGTACTAGTTTCCACGGTGGTGCGGCAAATTTTCCTGGCATGCGCCGCGGTTGTTCCCCTTTCTCTGCCGGTTCCCTCGTCGTCGTCTGCCGCGATACCCGCCTTCGTAGTCGCCTTTTTGGTCTTGCGCGCCACCGCTGCTTTCCTGCCTGGTGCTGCGCCTTGAGATAGCGAGCGCCAATCCTGCGGGGCAATCGGACACGCTTCGCCGTCCAGCACGCGATGGGCGGAGTTAGCAACCACAGGGCGAATCCCCGAGTTTGGCTCCTTGACCCGGCGCGATCCCGTCTCCTCCTTCCAGTTGACGGCGGGAATGGGGCAGAGCATTTCGTCCCGCAGTACATCCGGTCGACGCGCCACCACGACTTCTTGCCTGCTCGCCATGCCGAATGAAGGCTGGACAAAAGAGCACCGGCGCGTTTTAGGCCTGCGGAGTTGACGTTCAGGCTTGGAGTGCGTAGGAAGGTGGTGGAGGGTGGTAAACGGTGACAAGCTGGTGCGGACGGGAAGGGGAGGGAATGGGACGAACGTCTAAAGCAGCACCTGATGCTGGCCTGCCGGCGTGGGTTGCTGGAAGAGGGTGTGGGCTGATGAGTTGATTGGGATGGATGTGACGGATGTGCTGTGCAAGCTTTGTTGATGGCAGCACAAGTCAGCAGGCTGGCCAGCAGTAGACTGGTTGGAGAATTGGACTTCCAGTCAAACTGTTCCGGCTGTAATGTGTAGGAGAGTTTATAGCAACGGCAAACCACGGTGCACGTAGTCCAGTATAACGGGCTGTAATGGCTGATGACGAGTCGAGGGATGGTTTCCCCCTCGAAGTCCCTTTGTTGGACTGGAGGTGGTCTGTTTGTTGGAAGACGACAGAAGTAACGAATTCTTCTTTCCGAGCATTCCGTGATGCCCCAACCAGAGCATAAACCTCCATTTTCTCGAGAATCTGTAACTTACAAACACAGAATGAACACCCATCACTCACAGCTCCTTCAGAGTGTTTAGTAAGCCCTTCATGTAAGGAAATTCCTTTTCATACTGGGCTCAACTATAGCGCGCACGCCCTCTACTCTTGGAAGTCCAGGCTCGGCCAACTTCTTCGGTCCCGAACCACTTTGCAAACCCAAACCTAGACGCGTGGCGCTTCCGTAGCTTTCGCCAACCGAACCGCCCCAACCTATTCGCGTGGTTCTGTGCTAGCCTTGTTCGTGCCTATAAATGTCTAGGCCCTCATTTGTATCTACACCCTTAAATCACGACTCATTTATTATTTTACATATTATTACTCTGATTAATTCATAACAAATGGTATCAGAACTCCGTTCCTGTTTGCTTAGTCTTCCGTAGAGTAACCCGTTTATATCGGGAGAGGACCCGACAAGATAGAGGGTTGGCTAGCGGTTGGTGGGTGAGCTCGTTAAAGCTCCTCCAACTAGAAGCGTGTGCACCCTCGGATTTGTCAGGTAAGATTTCCAACATGCCTACCACGCAGGAAACCTCTACCCACCGTAATGTTAGGAACGTGACTCAGGAGGAGTTTGACGAGTTGCAAGCTAGGTTGGCTACAGTGACGATACTGCAAGCCCAGCTTCAACAACTCGCTGAGAAGTTCGAGATGCTGGGAAGCGAAGTACAAACGTTGCGCAACGAAAACTCTTCGCTTCGCCAGGCGCGGGGTGAAACGCGTCACGGGCGGCCTGTTACCCGAGACGAAGTTGCTGCAAACGAAGCAAGGGTGTTGGCAACACCAGAAGTAGTTGAAGAGATCCGCAGCGAGCCACGGGCAGCCATTAAAATCAAGCCACCCATGATCCGCCGTTCAACCCGATCGACAAATCTTGTACAGTGAGCAGTTGGTTGTTCGCCATGGAGTTCTTGTTTACAGCAGCCAGCATAGATGACAATGCTCTACTCGTTAACTTAGTTGTGTCACTGCTGAGGGGACCGGCACTCGGTTGATGGCGCATGCATCTGGATGAGGAAGGAGCCCCGGCAGGGAATCAACAGGCGGTAGATGGGGAGCATGACTCATCAACGGCACAGGCAGAACTGATCTTTGGGTCGGCCACGATCCGCACGTAGGGCAAGGCATCGAAGAGCCGCTTAAAGCACATATCCATGCGCAAAAACGCTCACACAAGGCTTCGGATGTGGAGACAGTTGGGCTCTGTCCAGGAGTACACGGCTTCGTTCCTGGCGCTATGCGATCAAGTCGGCGAGCTCAAAGATGTCGAGGAAATCGATCGCTACGTGGGTGATCTCAAGCCAGAGATTCCGCAAGAGATCGCCCTGCGAGCCCCGGCGACCATCAACAAAATCGTCCGAATCGCGGATGCGCTGGACGCGAGACGTGGACTAACAAGGTCGGGTTTCTGGGAGGGAAACCGTTTTCGAGGCTAGCCCCAACACACATCAATCAACGGCGTGGATGTACTTGCAGCCTTGGTATTTTCCAAACGCTGTTTCAACTGCAACCAGCCGGGTTATATGGTGAAGGACTGCCCGCAGCTGAAGAAGAACTTAGTTAATGACGGGAAGCAGTCGGGAAATGGAAAGAGTCAGTAGCTGATGGGCCGCCTACTAACCTGATTGCGTCGCCCAAACGCCAACACCCCCACCAAGTCATAGTGCCGATTTGGGCTATCGACCATTCCTAGCTGAATAAGGGGGGTGAACCGGTTGATCACCCTGTGCTGGTTGAAGGAAGAGTTGGCGACACCCGCATCAAAATATTTGTTGATTTTGGGGCGAACCACAGTTTGATGGATGTGACAAGACGAAAAACTTCAATTGCAGCTGGAGCGCTACATGCGCGAAATCGACGCGATGTTGGTTGACGACACCCCACTGGCGAGTCGCGAGCACGTGCCTCACGTGCGAGTCACCTGTGACGAAAACTTCAGTTTCACGACGGAAATGCTGGCGACAACTCTAGATGGGTGTGACATGCTGCTGGGACACGATTGGCTACGAGAGTACAAACCAAGCATCGATTGGCGGACGGGCGCTTGTCGCATCAAGTGGAGTGGCGAGTGGCAATGCCTTCCCAAGTGGAGCAGTCAAGACTCGGCCACGTAGACGGTCAGCGCCATGACTATCAAGCGAGCGATGATTCGAGGAGCGCAGCTGTATGCCGTCCGATGGATCGCATCCACGGCTGTTGACGCGTTGATCGACATCGACAAACTCTGTGCAGCTGTCCCGGATGATTTGGCAACCGTGATTCGGAAGCACACCGACATTTTTCCGGATGACCTACCAGCCGGCTTGCCACCTCAGCGACCGCATGACCACAAGATCGAGTTCAAGCCCGGCGCGCAACCAATTGTTCAGACCTAGTGGCAGCTGCCTCAGCCAGAGTTGGATGAACTTCGACGCCATCAGGACTACCTGCTCGAGCGAGGATTCGTCCGCCTTAGTACATCCCCGTTTGCAGTTCCAATCTTGTTCACCCCAAAGAAAGATAGCGGTTTACGTATGTCTATCGACTACCACGCATTGAATCGGGTTACCATTAAATCTCGCTACCCAATTCCACATGCCAACAAAATCATCGACCAACTTCGCGGGGCCCGGTTCTTCTCGAAAAATGACGTGCGATGCGATTACCACCAGATTCGCGTGGACAAAGCTGACTGTTACAAGACGGCGTTTTGGACTCGGTGCGGGAGTTACGAGTATACGGTTATGCCATTCGGTCTAACAAACGCGCCTTCGATATTCCAGCTGACCATGAACGAGATTTTCCGGCCACTAGTGGATATGTGCGTTATCGTGTACCTCGACAACATCCTCGTCTACAGCACTATCCGGGAGCAGCATTTGAAGGATTTGGAAGACGTTTTCTCTCTCTCCTGCAGCAGAATTGACTCATTACCAAGGGCTCTAAGTGCGAGTTTCTAAAACACGAACTAGAGTTTTAGGTCACGTCATCTCCATCGACGGTGTTAAAATCGACCCCAAGAAGATTGCGACGATCCAATACTAGAAGCCGCCGACTAATCTCCGCGAACTTCAGATTTTTCTACGGTTTGTAAATTACGTCCGGCGGTTCATTCCGAACATGGCGGGGGTAACTTCCCCTCTTACGGATCTCCTGAAGAAGGGAACATTTTTTTAGTGGAGGGGAGAGGAGCATGCTGCGTTCGAAAAGCTCAAACTTTTTCTTATGACACCTCCGGCTTTTCGGATTGCGGATCCTCACCGTCCATTCGCAAGCCAAATCTCAAACAAGGCTGGGAACGGAAAGGAGGAACGAGCAAAGCACTTGAACTGCTTCGACCAATCGCATGGCCCTTTTTGACCCCTTCCCCTGAGTTTGCAAATTCTCCCCGGGTGCATGGGGTTACCCTTTTTTTTGGGCTCCGACTTTGCTAGCAAAACCACTCGCGCCTTGTAGCGTGGGATCTGGGCTTTAACGGCAAAACTTATGCTTCACCGTCTCCCGGGCTGAAAACAGACTGTGCACTAGCATGCGCTTCGGGGCGCCAGTCATTTTACAGAAAACATGCTGTACCCATGTCATCGCATCGCATGCCAGCTTCCATTGGGTCTGCTATTCTGTGGAAATAACCCAGGAGGAAGGTCATGAGACCTTGAATGTACAACTTGGGAGGAAGTGACTTCGGCAGGGTTGGTCCCAAGTGGGAGCAGGCCCGACAGCGAAAGGACCAGACATGTGCACTGGGTGGAGTGCCGTGGCGACAAGCGGAAGAACGAAGCAACTGCCAGCGCCCAATCCGACAGCTTGAAAGCGTGTAGTGTTTATGACGTGTTCGTTTTCGATAGCACCGCAACGGTTCGGCTTCAGATGCCCCCCAACTTTTGTGATGGTGTACGCCATCAGAAGCTGTAAGGATTTTCGGATAAACGTCGAGCAATAAACGTCGCTCTCGATATCAGTTTGCAACGGGGCTGTACACGGCTCTGGAGGGTGTGAAAAAAATATAATTTAGGTTCAGCGCGGTGTCAGTTGACTATGCGACCTCCATCATTGACATTGGCAACTTTTACCACTTTCCTCTGACTCTTGGCTAAACTTACTACGACTACTTTCGTGAGTTGTGGGAACTGCCATAAAGGATATCCAGTAACCCTCCATGGTAGGAATTTCGAAATGGGGACTGAACAGTACCGAAGCATGAAGTTCGGGAGAGTCGTCGAGTTTGGCTGAATGGAAATTGGAATCTCTCGAAAGCGGTGTGACGCGTCGAGAAAAGGGGCCTTGGTGGTGGTGGTGGGCTCTCATCTCAAGCCGAGGCGGCGCGACGGTTGAAAAAACAGCCGAACCCTCTAGGAGTGCTGGCATCGCGCATTGAATGGCTGTTGGAAAATGGACAAACCACATCCGTCTGCTTGCAGGACCATCCTCCCAATAAACAACGAATTCAAGAAAACTTGTGGTTCGAGATATCCATCAATCACAAATCAATCATTTGTGATTCGTCCGCGCCTTCACGCACTACATTGTGGACACAAGAGTGACACGTGGAGATTCCGCCATCCGTATCACAGGCCCTAAATATCTGTCGGACCAAGTATCTAAACCTAGATACACCACTTCTGAATTTGTAGAACCCCATCGTACCACGCAACGTAATCCAGAAGCATGAAAGGTCAAAACCTGGGGCAAAACTCTCTCTATCATGTATGCATGATAAACACTACCTAATCAACGATTGGGGAACGCACGTTTTTTTTTTTTTT